TAATTTCATGTGCTTGATCTTTTCTTATTTTTTTGTTCAGGAAAATAATTTTCCGTTTGAAACCTTTTTTATTTTTTCTAATTTTAATTCTCTGAAGACAAATGTTTCAAGAAGACGGATCATCCTCCGTGACCTCAACCCCCTTCCAAGCCCTCCCCATGACGTCACCATCCCCGGGCCCGAACTCTCCATATCCATGGCTGAAGGACCTCAAGCCCGAGGAGAGAGGGCTTTACCTAATCCACCTCCTCATCACCTGCGCTAGCCACGTGTCCAGCGGCGGCCTTGACCTCGCGAACATGGTGCTCGACCAAATGTCCCAACTAGCCTCGCCGGCCGGAGACACCATGCAGCGCATCGCCTCCTACTTTTCCGAGGCTCTGGCCGACCGGGCCCTCAGATCCTGGCCCGGCCTGTACAAGGCCTTCCGCTCCACTAATGAAACCCCTTTTCCCGACAAATTTCTCGCTTGGAAAATGTTTTCCGAGTTCCTCCCCTTTATGAAGGCAGCCTTTGTAATCGGCAACCAGGCAATAGTCGAGGCTATGGAAGGCGAGAAAATGGTCCACGTGGTTGACTTAAATGCAATCGAGCCCGTTCAGTGGTGTTCTCTCATACGGGACCTGAGCGCCCGGCCCGAAGGCCCGCCTCACTTGAGGATAACAGGAATTCATCCAAACAAGGAAGTTCTGGAGAAAATGGCCAATGTTCTGACCCATGAAGCCGAAAAATTAGATCTCCCGTTTCAGTTTAACCCTATTGTTACCACTTTAGAAAGTCTCGATCTTGAAACTTTGCGGGTCAAGACAGGGGAAGCCTTAGCCGTTAGTTCGGTTTTGCAGTTGCACTCCCTTTTAGCTTCTAATAATAATAATAATAATAATAATAATAATAGTTTTAGCAATAAGTATCCAATGGTTGGGAATAGACGCAGCAGCCCGAGTAACGACTCGTCCTTTTCATCATCGCCTTTATCATCTTCAAAGCCTTCATCGAGATTAGATAGTTTTCTAAGTGCTTTGCGCGGTTTGTCTCCAAAGATTATGGTGGTGGCCGAACAAGACTCGGACCACAATGGTAAAAGCCTAATGGAGAGGATGTCGGAGTCTTTGTATTTCTACGCGGCTTTGTTCGACTGTTTGGAGTCTACTCTGCCGAGGGCATCCTTGGAAAGGTTGAAAATGGAGAAAGTTTTGTTCGGTGAAGAAATCAAGAATATTATCGCTTGTGAAGGGAGTGAGAGGATGGAAAGGCACGAGAAGCTCGAGAAGTGGGGTCGGAGGCTCGATTTGGCCGGTTTTGGTAATGTGGCGTTGAGTTATTACGCGATGTTGCAAGGGAAGAGATTGGTGCAAGGGTTTAAGTGTGAGGGTTATAGGATTAAGGAAGAGAATGGGTGTGTTGTGATTTGCTGGTATGATCGGCCGCTTTACTCGGTCTCTGCATGGAGATTTAGGCGGTGAGTGAAAGTATTTGTATTTTTCTTGATTTTTGTATTTTGTTGTTTGTAGTTGTGTTTTGTGGAGGGGATGCTTTTATCTTGATTCTTGATAGATGCAGAGGGGTTATCAGTGATGTATTGTATTGCTCTGAATTTCTGTTGTTCTTTTTTTTTTAAAAAAAAAAGTTCTAGATGTTTTTAATGTTACTCAAGTTTTTGTAGATATAAACTCTCTTGTTATTGTTATTAGCAACTAAGCTGCTGGGGTTAACATATTCATTCACGTTGACGTATGAATTAATGTTTTATCTTTTAATTAGGAGTAAATTGAATTCATCTGACTCACTTGGTTGTTTTTAAATAGAGAGGCGATCTTGGGACTTTGGATTACTCTGAAAAAAATAGAACACAAAAGATCTTGTTTGGCTTTTAAAGAGGAAGGTATTTGAATTGTTTAAGGACTTTTTTGCTCAATACGTGATTGAAAACCTTTGTCTCGTTGCATATCAGCTCAAAACTTCTATTATTAGACTGTTTATTTATTCATTAAAGAGGACAAAAAAGATGATTATACAATTCTTTTCATCGGATTATTAAGAACTTTGTATTATTAGGACCATAGCTAGTTTTTTTCAATTGGCGAGAGACTTGGGCAAAACCATGGATCGTCGTTTCCAATTTGGTCCAAACTGTAGTTCAACCTCTTTGTCGGCCAACATGATGTTGGATCCTTGGGACCATGAGATAATAGTTGATCTTATTAATGGTGACGAGAATGAGCCATTTTTTTTTATTTTTTTACTTTTTTTATATTTTGTGGTAAAAAGATAATATGTATTTTGAATTATATTTCTTGGATATTTTCCTTCAAAAAAGGCAACAAAAATTTCTTTTAGCTAGGGATAAGCAAAATCGAGCCGAATAGTACAATTCGGTACAGTTCGGTTTAGTTTTTTAATGTAAATCATTTTTTATCAGGTTTCGATTCGTTTTTTTTTCCCCTACATTGCGGCGCGGTTATATTTTTTCATATGTTTGGTTTTCGGTTGTATCGGTTCGGTGTAGTTTTGCACCGAACTGCACCAAATTGAATAAAATGTATAGAAAAATTAAGATAAAATCGAAAATTGAGTTAATTGCGCATTTCGGTGCGGTTAAGTTATTTTAGGGTACAAAATATCCGGTTCGATTTTGGTATGGCTTTTTTTGTTTTTTTTAAGTTGCGAGAAGGTTTGATTATTTTCTTGCTAGGTTTGATTTTTTCCGATTTGGTGCGGTTTTTCACCTAATCGCATCATTGGCTCACCCACACTTTTAGGTCTTGATTTCCACTTTCAGGCCCATGAGCCAATATAGCTCAGCCAATCTAAAAAAAAGGTTTAATAGGACAATGTAACTTGTTGCCTAAAGGCCCACCTAATGTAATTGAGTCCACCATAATAGCTTCACATATAGACGAGACAGAAATTTGGAATTCCAAATTTTAGAGAGTTGTCATCCTCAATACCACAAAGACGATCACATTCTCCACCATGATGTTTCTCTCTTTGTTAAGCTTTTGATATTCCCAAAAACAACTATTTTCTGTAAAAATCATTTCCCTAACTCGAGAAAACGTGATTAGTCAATATTTGGACTTGATAAATATTCTTTTTTCATCTACATATTCTTTTTTGTTTTTTTTTTTTTAGTTTTTCAGTTTAATGTGTATATATTGCATGTTAGTTTTGGATTCATGTACTACAAAAAATAAAAATAATTAAGAGAAAAAGCACACTATGGAAAATTGCATATTGTAATAAGAAATTAAACAATTTACAAAACCAACTATATATAAACTAAGAACAAATCCACCAAAAAATAAATAATGGAATATGAATTTGTCCTTAATATAAACCAACTTATGTTCCAATACCAGTTTATCCACCAAAAAATAAATATTAGTTTATCTTCAGTTTATTTTGAGTTTTGTAAACAAGTTTTTCTACTGTAAATTTATATCTAGTTTATTTTTAGTTCATTATAAGTCCATAAATCATTACAAGAATACAGACTGTGAATTTAAATTTATATATAGTTTATTTCAGTTTATTGTACAACCATTCGGTCAAAATCGAACCGAACCGACTGAATTTCGGTTAACCGAAAATTCGGTTTGTCCATTATCATAATCGAAAACCGAACTGAAATTTACGGTTCGGTTCGGTTTTTAACCGAAATTCCAGCGATCGGTTCAGTTCGATTTTCGATTAACCGCAATAAATAATTAATTTTATCAATAAATTCCAAATATTTAACCGAACAAAAAGTTTGATGTTTTATCCGAACCAAAAAAAAAAAAAATACTTTTTTATCACCTTGTTTAATCTTCTCAATAAATTCTAAATTCGTCCAAAATAATTTGACTTGTTCTATTTTTAGCTTAATTATGGTGTCGTCCTAAGTCATTTTCAAGTATGTGACCTACCGTTGATGTCTTCTCGTCGAGACCGTCATATACTGAATCATTCAGACCAATTGGAGTTCATTTGCTCAATCAATTACGCGTCTAAAGCTATATGCGTGGACTACCTTTTTTGCGACGCGTCAGTCCGTGAGAAAATTTAATAATCTGACTTTTATCCTGCCACAATAATTAATATACATTATTAGATGAATTTTTTAAATTAATATATTAAATTTGATGTCAGCAAAAAAGTGGACATTTGCTCAAAATAGACCACTATAATGGACTAAAACAAAATTATGTCTTATAATTATGAGGCGGTTTGATTTTTTTAAGACAAAATGCATATTTATAATTTGAATTATCATATTTTTATTTATTTTGTTATTTTAAACGTGGTATTCAATTTATTTTGTGATTCTTCATTCAACATTTTATTCATTAAGTAGAGGTAAAGATGCCACACATTTCTTAGCTAATCTATGTGAAATAATGGTAGATTATCATTTTGGATGTGGAAGTGAGGAAAAAACAAAAGCACTTATCTATTATATATAATAAGAATTAACCTTTTTTAAAAATAGTAGGTCAACCAATCCACAAAATCCGGTCAGCATTAAATGATTACCATAAACAGCAACTTTCTGTCCTTTTCACACATTGTCCTTTCCACACATACTTTAATAACACATTAATTAATTATATTACATGACAGCATTATTTAATTAATAAAAATTAGATAAAAGCCCCCATCTATATCTATATATATATAATAAGAATTAATATTTATCAATTTTATAAACTTTTCCCGCCATAATCATTAAATATTTACTAAATATAGTATTTTTTTTACAATTATAAATCGGAGCATTAATTATTCTGTAACGATCTGTTTATATTTTTCCTGTTTTTTAGGTAGATAAAGCCGCGTAGATTTATTAACCTGTTGAAAGAATCATTTTGATTCATATGAAAGATTTGAATTAAAACTTCATTTCGGAATGAAATTGAAAGAGCCACTTTCCATATCCAATTTATTTCGCCACCACTTTAAAAGAGAATAAAAAATTTATATTAGTATAAATTTATATATATATATATATATAATAAGAATAACCCTTTATTAAAAATAGTAGCAAAAAATTTATATTAATAAAAATTTATATATATATATATATATATATATTAAGGCATACCCTTTTTTGGAAATATTTTAAATATATGCAATAATGTTTCCATATACATTTTTTCAAATAAGATCAAATTAGATATGATCAAAAATATTATTTCCTTAAACAATTTTATTAATATCTGCAATAATTTTATATATATTTTTTATATCTAGAAAGACTTCTACATTTTTTAAATGCCACATTGTATTTTTGGAGCTAGGTGGCAATGAAATAGAGCAATCCCTTTACAATTAGAGATGTCCTAAAACAATTATTTTCTCTTATATCGATGAATAAATATATATACAAATATCAAATCTATATTATTATAAATTATAAATGTGGTAGTGAGATAATATATTAATTATTTTACAAGTTATCCCTAACATGCTCAATATGTAAAGCCTAAAAAAACAACGTTGATTAAAAGAGGTGGAAAATATATTATAATCCTATTGTAAAAGAGGTGGAAAATAGATTATAATCCTATTGTTTTCTATATTTTAACGCTGATTAAAAGAGGTGGACAATAAATGATATAGAGCCTGTGAAAATAACTTATTTAATATCTTCCTTCCGTGCATCGCACGGGGTACGTAGTAAGTGAAAAAACGAAAAAGAAAATAACATTTAAAAGTGGATTGGGTTCTATTTAGTCAAACGCTTTCTCAAAATCCCAAGCAATAGTGAAAGTACCTTCTGCTTCAAAAGCTGTACATGAAGACCGAATAGCTTCTTTTTATTTTATTTTTTTTTGGAATTACCTCATCACAGCATTCACATTTGTTCGCGTAAACAGTAGCCATCAGCGCACCCAACTCATTTTTCCGTTTCTCCCCCAATTTTTAGAGAGAGAAACGATACCCCCGTTTAGGCTCCCTACCATTGTTACGAGAGCTTTTGGCAGATCGGTTAACTCGTGGGGTTTTGTTCTTGAATTATTACTATTTTTTGCCGAAATTCAACTTCAATTCTTCCATTTTTTATTTTTTTCTACTTTGCCCCCTGTTTTTGAAGAGTGTATGTGAAACTGGGGAATGGAGTATGTGGGCAGAAGGGTGAAGAAGGAGTCCCAAGGCCACGGCACGAGCTTTGGTTCGGTTCAGTCTTACGAGCCGTCGACTGAGGTTTTTAAGATCGTGTACGACGGTGGAGATTCCGAAGAATTGGAGCTCGCGGAAGTTTCTTCTCTCTTGCTGTCCACCGAGCCTCCACCTCCGCCTCCGCCGCCGTCCGAGGCTCCGGTCAGGAAGCGAGGCCGCCCAAAGAAGCGACGCCGCATTGTGAATAAAGGTACGGACAAAGGTGATCCTGAAATTGAGAGTGTGGTTAATGAGAATATGTTTGGTAGAGAGGCGGGTTCTGGGGGCTTTGATTTGAATTCGAATGAAGGAATGGGTTTGGATGTTGATGCGTTTAACCTTATCAGTAGAGATGATCATGGGGTGAATGGGGTTGGTGCTGGGGGAGACATGCGTGGCTTGGATTTGAACGAGGTTGTGAATTTTGAGTCAAATGAGCAGTTATGTCTGAATAACGGTGGTGTTGTTGGAAATTCGGGAGAAACGAGAGAAATTATTGACCTGAATTTGGATGCATATGAAGATTGTGAGAAGTTAACAGATGGGAGAAAAGGGCGTTGCTTTGACTTGAATTTACAGTTGACCGAGGATGAGGTGAGGAACTTGGAAGAACGTGAGCTGCAAAAGGGAGCAAATGAAACCATTCTTAACAAAGGAAATATGCAGTTGAGTGAAGTCTTGGTGGAGCATGATACCAAAGAATATCCAGTGAATGTGGATGATGGAAATCGTGTAGTGAATACAGAGAACAAAGAAGATAGCCCAAGGAGGAACAGCGCGTCTGGGCTTGATAACGGAAATGTGGCTACACAAAAAATGAAAAGGGGTAGAAAGAGAAAAGATACTACGATCAATAATATTGAAGTATCCTCCCTGGAGCCACGAAATGGGGACATGAAGTCAGAGTTGGATAGTGTAGAAGGAACACGATCGAGAATGGGTGATGATTCGGTTGATCATGAAAATGGAGTTTTGGGAACTCTAACTAGAGGGAGAAGAGGTCGGAAGAGGAGAGATTTATCAGAGAATAATGTTACCTTGCCTACTCCTTCAACGGGATTGAGAAGGAGCAGCCGTAGAGCAAAGAGAGAAGCTTTGTCTGATTCTGATCAGGTCCCAAATGTGTCAGACTTGGGTGACATTGATCAAAAGTTGTCATCTCCAGCAATTAATTTCATATCTCAAGAAAAGAAAATTGTAAAATCTCGTCGAAAATCTTCTCATCCTGATATTCTTCCACCTAAATTGGAGCTGCCGCCGTCTTCTTGCAACTTGGATCTAGATGGAGTTCCTTTGTTTGATTTAGTTTCTGTTTACGCATTCTTGCGGTCATTCAGCATTTTGTTATTTTTAAGTCCCTTTGAATTGGTCGATTTTGTGGCGAGTGTTAAATGCAACGACTCGACATTATTATTTGATTCGGTTCATGTTTCTCTATTGCGAACTTTACGTAAGCATCTTGAGTCACTTTCCAATGAAGGTTCCGTGTCGGCAGCTGATTGTCTAAGGTATTAAGTTCTCTCTTGCTAAAAGATTATCCGCTTAAAGGTCCAAGGTCCATTTCACGATACTTATTAACCCTCATATTCAAATTTTGATTCAGGTCTCTTAATTGGGATCTTCTTGACCTGATCACGTGGCCAATGTTTGCGGTTGAGTATCTATTACTACACAGCCCTGGGTATATTCCTGGCTTAGATCGTTGTCACCTGAAGATTCTTCTGAATGACTATTATAAACTGCCCGTCTCCGCAAAAGTTGAGATACTGCGGCATCTTTGTGATGATGTCATTGAAGTAGAGGTATTTAGGTCAGAGCTGAACAGAAGGATATCGGCAACAGAATACCAGACAGACTTGAACCGTGATTCGAAATTTGAGAGTTCTCGTAAAAGAAAACCTGCCATGGATGCCGCTACTACGTCTTGTGTCATGGAAGAAGATGCCGAGGAATCTGCAGATGGGAATAGCGATGAATGTTGTCTTTGTAAGATGGATGGGAACTTGATATGCTGTGATGGTTGCCCTGCAGCATTCCATTCGCGGTGTGTGGGTGTAGTCAGCAGGCTGTTGCCTGAGGGCGATTGGTATTGTCCTGAATGTGCCATTGAAAAGGATAAGCCTTGCGTGAAAGTGGGAAAGTCAATCCGGGGAGCAGAACTTTTGGGGAGTGATGTTTATGGACGGATATTTTATAGTAGCTGCGGTTACCTGTTGGTGTAAGTTTCTTCTTATAAAATTAGTTAAGAAAATCACGTGATTTCAGTTATGCGAATGGGTTAGTATAATTTAATGCATAAGATATCGCTGCGGACCGCAGTTGTAGACTTAAAAATTTGTGTATCTTATTTTTATAGAGTTTCTGAGTTTAAGTGTGGTACGGAATGTCTGAGATTGGGGGAAGGCAGTCTCAGAAGGCACACTAAAGAGCATGACCTCCAGTTTAAAATTATACATTAATAATTTCTGTAAAGTGAACTCTGCCATATTTAAAGATGAATTAACCTTTGCAAATGCAAGTTAACAGGACCTGTAACTTTGAAGTCTTAAAGATGTGAATCTTGTCTCCCGTTTGTCCTATAATTACGAGATATAATTGCTCCTGCATTTCAGTTAAATCCTTTCCCTTTAAATTCATTATACGGCTTTTAAATGTTTATTATGTTTTCGCTGTTTACGAATTTTTGCAATCGGCCAACGACTACCTTAAGAGTAGTCAAATTACTTTGTTTAAGTTTATTGTTCTTGTAAAAGATTATGACTTGTTTGGACTTATAAATATGTTAGAGATCTTATTTAAAAGTTAATTTGAGCACTATATATAAACTTCTACTTGCACTGCTTACCTGCAGGTTGGAGTCATGCAATGAAGAATATTCATTTTGTTGCTATGATAGAAATGACTTGCCTGGCCTTATTGAAGTTCTGGAGTCAGCCCCATTTGTCTATGACTCTATTATAAGTGCAATTTGTGAGCGTTGGAATGTAATTCGTGGAGTTGATGGGGCCAAAAATGATTTTGACTTGCGATCCTGTTCTGTACAGTCGACTCTTCCTGGAAAAGGGCAACTGCAGCATATAAATATGGCACCATCAGAAATTCTAAACAAGGATGTGTCTTTTGCTGAAAAGATGTCGGATAAAAAGTCCATAGCGTGTACTGGAATTACTAATTCCAGTAACACAGAACTTGATATTGCAGATAGTGGAGTTGTCATGCTGGAGACCGGCGACAACGGTTTGAAAATGGAAAATAATGTGGCAAGTTCTGAAGGATCAAATGAAGTCTCTCAGACATTCCCAAAAACTGTCACTTTAAAAGAAAATGGTCCTCCTGATTCTTCTGTAAGAGGGCCTGAAAGTGTGAATGACTGTCCTATTCCTGGGAAGATTGGTGGAGATCATCACATGACTTTGACCTCTGTAAATGTTGAAAAAGATAATAATCTTGGTTCAGAAAATCAGAGCTTTGCACCTGACAGCATAAACTTTGGAGTGTTGTCTCCAGCGCATTGCCCGATGAATTATGACAACTGTTATGAGTTAGCTCGAATAGCATCTTCATATTATGAAGAGTTCACTAGTAAATCATCTGATAAGACCTCAGGAGCTCCCCAAAAAACTGTTGAAGAATTTATAGCAGGACAGGCGAAGGTTGTATCGAACAGATATGCCGATTTTTCTTGGTCAAATATTCAGAATAGAAATGTGAAGTTCAGGAAGGAAAGATGTGGGTGGTGCTTCTTTTGCAGGTATCCTGATGATGAAAGGGACTGCTTATTTATTATGAATGATGTTATTCCAGCTGTAGAGAACTTTACTTGTGAGGTCTTGGGAATTCAGTCTGGAAAAAATCGGAAGAACCATCTTCTTGACATCATGTGCCATATCATATGCTTGGAAGATCATCTGAAGGGTCTTCTTTTAGGTCCATGGTTAAATCCACATTACTCCATGCTATGGCGTAAAAGTGTTCTAGGAGTGGTTGACTTGGCTTCACTAAAGAAACTGCTGCTCAAGGTTATTATACCTTCCTCTTTATTTATGTAATTGTATGAGCGCTTGAATTTGTAATTTTTATTCTTTACCAGATTATGGAGTGAGGTGGTACATTTTGTTTAAAAGTTGTTAGAAGTTATGTTTATATCACATGGGTTAGTTACCTTGGCTGTTATTGTGTATAAAGTGTGGGTTTGGCACCCTCTCCCTTTGAGGACCCAAACCATTTTGTTTGTGTATATCTAATTTGTACCTTGTATCAGTTGTCTGATTATGTGTTGACTTTTGGCCACCAGCTAGAGTCGAATGTCCATCATCTAGCAATTTATGCAGACTGGCGAAAGCATGTTGATTCTGTTATTACAATGGGCTCTGCTTCTCATATTATCAGCAGCTCTGCTCGAGCGTCCTCAAAGTATGGTACTGGCAAGAAGAAGGCCAAGTCTTCTGAGGTGGGGACTGCCCCATCTTCAAATGCCGCCACTGGACTTAGTTTATTCTGGTGGAGAGGTGGGAAGGGTTCGCGTATGCTATTTAGTTGGAAGGTTTTACCTAACGCTCTGGTTTCGAAGGCTGCTCGGCAAGGTCTGACGATCCTGATTTATAATTCTGTTTAAACTTGTTATCAATGTTTGTGGAATATATAGTTACCAGGCTATGTTTCACATAAAATAGGTGGAGGAAAGAAGATACCTGGTGTACTATACCCCGAGATAGGAGAATATGCCAAGCGAACTAAATCTGCTTCTTGGAGAGCTGCAGTTGAGACGTCTACAAGTGTGGAGCAGCTGGCACTCCAGGCATGTTTATTTTGTTTGTTCCATGTTTTAGATACAAAAAGATGTGTCTGCAATAACAAGGCTCTCTGTTTTCCCCCAAGATTTGTAATGCCCGTCGAGTGTTGGGAGTTTGTAATTTTACATGAGAATCAATATAATTGTAAAAATTTGGTCGGCATCTTGAAACTAATACTACACCTTACGATTCTCTACCTATCAAATAGAAGTCTACTCATGACAGTATAAGGGGAAAAAGGGATATTGATGATTCTATTGCAATTGTTACTGATATTTGAATGAAAGAAAATGCTCCTAAGTACTTATTGTGTTTGCATTTGCAGATTAGGGAGCTCGACGCTAATATTAGATGGGAGGATATTGGGAACTCCAGCCTTATCTCCAAGATAGACAAGGACACCAAAAAACCTGTTAGATCATTCAAAAAGGTTATAGTCCGTAGAAAGTGCTCTGAGGGATCAGTGGTCAAGTATCTTTTGGATTTTGGCAAAAGAAGATTTATTCCTGAGGTTGTCATGAAACATGGCACCATGCTTGAAGACTCATCAAATGAAAAGAAAAGATATTGGCTGGAAGAATCTCATATGCCACTGCATCTCTTAAAATCCTTCGAGGAAAAAAGAGTTACTCGTAAATCTAATAAGGTGAACTCTGGGAAACATCATGAGAGTACCGGAATAATGAGGAAGTCTGTCAAGAAAAAAGGATTCGAATATCTTTTCTCGCGATCTGAGAGATCAGAGAACTATCAGTGTGGTCATTGCAAGAAAGATGTTCCAATCAGGTACTGCATGGGGTTTATTCTTAGTATGGTCTTATACTCCCTGAGGATCCTGCAGTAATACTGGCAAAGAAATATTCTAGTCTCTCTCCTAATTTATCTCTTAAAAAGTATTTGATGTTATTTCTAATTTCTATGAACAGAAAACAGTCAGGGTACTATATATATTGTGATTGTGCATGTTTCAAATGACTATTCTTTTGGCTATATTTTGTCAGATTGTGTATGGATGATCTTTTGTTTCATTCAAATGGTGTTTGAGTGTATTCTTTCCGCAACCAATTTATTTTTTTCTTCCTATTTAGCTCATTAGTTTTTATTTAATTAAATTTGCAATGCCAATGATTAACTGCTATATGTTGATTTGCAGGGAGGCTGTGAGCTGCCAGCGTTGTGAAGGTAAACACCTCAGTTCTCTAAGGCTTTTCTTTGCTGGTCTTGGTATTTTATTTTGGCTGCTTACATTACCCCGAGGTCCCAAGAAATTAGCTTTTAACTGGATGATAATGGATCTCCTGTGAAAACAATAATCATCCAGTTAAAATATCCAAGTCCTCAAGAAAACCAGTGACCTCTGTCAACACTATAAAGATGAAGACTCGGTAATAAATAAACAAACAATTAGTTAGAAATGATATGCTGTTCTAATGGAATACGCATCTAATAGCTATGTACACCAAGTGTATCATATAATTGCTCTTACTACATAACTGAATTTAGGAAGTTAACGTAATAAAGATAACGATCTACTCTCCGAACAACACTTACACCCTTAAGAGTCTCTGCCGCTGCCATGTGTTAATGCACCTGAGACTATCGGGCCCTACTCTCTAGCGCTTTTATACGTGTTGAAATTGTAATATAAAGAGAAAATATATAATTAGGTCTATTAATGATATATATAATTGATTATTCTTTCTCATTTTTATTTGTTTTTTAACTATTAAGTTTATCAAAAAAATCTGCTTACATACAGATGGCCTTGATAAGTCTCCCTGATAAGATCAGACAATTTTTCTTTTTTCTTTTTTTAAATGTAGATTTATCACTTCTACACAAAAATCAGCATGCTAGATTATTCTCGAGTATCTCCGCACTATACATATCTCTATAAGTACTTTCCCCAAAACAAATTGGAAAACTATCGATTTATTGTGCTCAGTTTATTGACGAAGACAATTGTTGGCTCACCATTTGAGTTATAAATGCTACCCTTGCTTTTTGTGTGTGGTGGAATTACAACATTTAAGAATCTGTCTTCACTCTCTTGAATCCTGAAAGCTAACATCAGTAAGTTGAAAAATAAATTACTGCTACCATTTGAGTTCTTCACCTTAGATTAATTCTTCTCTTCCCTAGATTTCGGCTACTTGATAATGTTCCATTTTTGACTTGCACTTTTATTGTACAAATACATATATTAATGGAAGTTACTTGATTTTCAGGCTTTTTCCATAAAAGGCATGTACGGAAATCTGTTGGGTTCACTATATGTGCGTTTACATATACTTGCCATAAGTGTCAGGGTGGTCAGTCTGTGAAAGTTGATGCAAAGAAGGGTAAGTCTCAGTCCCCAAAGCTGAAGAATGCATCGACAGGACTAAAACCTTTACGCCCAAGGAAAGGCAAAAAGATGAGGAAAGTAAAGCGAAAAGTGATGTCCAAAAACCGTAAAGGAGTTCCTTTGGTTGAACCTCTGCGAAGATCTGCCAGGAATGCGGAACGTGTTGCGAAGCTACCTCTGCAGAGTACTAGGGTGAAGAAACGGAAGAAGAGAAAACAAGCTAAAACAGAAAAGGGCTTGTCTAAGAAGCCCAAATTTAGTAGTCGTAAGAAGAAGAGGACACCTGTTAATAGCAGTTACTGGCTAAATGGTCTACAATTATCACACAGGCCAAATGATGAAAGGTTGATGCATTTCAGGAGTAGGATGCTTCTTGTGCTTCCTGGGGAAGTGACTTCTGTCCTCCATAAACCAAAATGCACCCTGTGTTGCGAACTGGAGCATAAGTCTGATGTCGGTTATGTGGCCTGTGAAATTTGTGGAGGTAACATTTTGGGAAATCTTCTTTGTGTTTAAGAGAGATCAATTTTCGTTTTTCGACCAGAAAATAACAAAAACGACAAAGGGTGCATTTTTGTAAACGCTAAACACAAAGACAAAATGGTATTTTTGCAACACTCCGCAATATTTTTTAGTTCAGCTCATATCTACTTTGTGACACCCATTGTCATGCTGTTAAGTGTTGAATATTAAACTCTGCCATGAACTCCTTGTCTTGATAAGTCTGTTTCTTTCGGAGAAACTAGTGCTGGCTTTTGACTCATGTTTGGTAATTGACTCTTCTTTGAAGTTTGTACATAGTTGTTCTCTGAACATTCAAACATTATTACTTTACATCATGTCTATGGAGTGCATTTCGTTCATGGGATTTACATCTAGCGAAACACATAATGAAAACTTTGAAATATGCTTCTCTATTAACAGGATCTTTTTCTGATTACTTTTCCTTTGTGCTATTGTTTGCAGTTTGGTTTCATGTAGATGCTTTGAATCCTAGAGCTGGCGAGATTGAAAATGTTATTGGCTTCAAGTGCCACCTGTGTTTGAATAAACGGCCTCCTCTCTGCCCTCATCCTTGTCCTATTGAAAATGACAAGGATGAACTTATTTCAGAAAAGAAGACTAATACTGAGTGCACCAAGGAGAATTCCAATTGTTCGGCTAAACTCAGTGACAAGTCAGCATGTCGGAAATCTCATTACAGTGAATCCAAGGATGAATGTATGGCTGTTAATTTTGAGAAGCAGCCATCTGAGACTACCTGAGTCGAGCCAGAAAGATAGAGACTTGGTATTGCCTGAGAAAATTTGACTCAGTAATGATTCTATTGAACTTGGTGAATGATTGGGAGGCGAGGCTGAAGGTTCACCCTTTAACTCATAACTCTGCGAAGAATGGTTTGCAAAACAATAGTGCGTTTGCTGTTTCTGACCCAACTGAGTTCTCTCCATAAATTCCGTTAGTGTAAGGTGACATGCTGTATGGTGGGGAGAAAATTGTAGATTAGATTTGAGTCATACCTTTTAATTGTACAAGGTATTGTGCTAATGGTACAGATGTAAAACTTTTTATGAATCTTGGAATACCATCTGAAACTAAAGAGTTCATTGAGATGATTTTTAAGAAATTAGAGCAAGTATTTATCTGGTTCTTTACTCTTCAATGATCTCATCTATCTTATTATAATTATAGTATATTGGTGCTTACACGTTTGATTTATTATCAGACGTTCCAAGATGGATTGATGTTTGAAATTTTAGGGTGTTATCTTTCGTTTCCTGTCACTAGAATTATGTCATGATTATCTTTGTTATTTATTGGTTCTAGTTGCGTTGTGACTTCTCTTCCTAGATTAACAACTTGCTCCTCCAGAAACTTATATGTAAATTTCATGAAAGAGTTGGTACCTTTTTTCTCTTCCTCAATATACATTTTTTAATTTTTGGCAAAACAATCCCAGCAATTTGGTATCATAACAGTGAGTGCACAAGGTTGGTGCTTAGTAATTTCTTTGTTCACATTGTTATTGTTCTTCAATATTGATGCCTTTTTGTATTTTGGGAGTTTAATGTGGAAAGAAAATGTTTTGTTAGGCAGAACAGCAATAGGGTTGCTTTTTAATTATGATATCTCCATTGAAATCTTCAGCTTGGATTGGAAAAGCATGTTCTGCCAATTAACTTTCCGCTTCCGGTCAATTGTTTCCGTTCTTCACTGATTCTCTTTTGTTGGATATTGCTACAGTGCTTAGATGTAATTATGGCATCACAATCACATACTTAGTGGTCTTACTGTTGATGTCTTAGTGCGGTTTAAGCTCATTTCTGACTGGTTGAACAATTGGATAGAAAAAGTATTAACTCACCAGGCCTTGCATGCAAAGCCATGGCCTGAACATTAGAGTTGGAACATATGTAACTAGCTAATAGTAGTATTTTCCACTTATTTTGTTGGCTCAACTACTAAGCCCATCACAGTGTGTTCCTAGAGTGTAATTGGTCAAACATCATGATGATGCTGGAAAGTCAGAGCAACATGGAGGTGTTGCTACATGCAGGCGGTCAAAGTATACCATTATCTGCTCCATATAAAGAGGTTTGAGTTTTTTACCTTCTTTCATGTAAGTTTTTAAATAAGTACGTGTTTTCTGGGTGATTGATTTTATCCAATTAAAATTGGAAACAACAGGAGAAACAGGTAAAGCTCTTATGAACGAAAATGATGTTTGAGTTTTATCTCGAAATGTAACCATTGAATTATAATGCTTCTTGCCCCTGCAAGTTGACTGGAATGTATTTTTGTTATGATACAAGGCACCAAGAGTGCTGATATTAGATTTGGTGTGTAATTTTCATTTACATGTTATGTACTGTTGTTTCTTCGTATGTGGTTATTAGGTTTTGGGTTCTCCACGATGTATAGTTCTCAAGAATTAAGATAGTATTTTTCTAGGAGTTGTTATTTCAAACTCATAGAAGGAAATTTTACTGAACTCTTTAACCAACAAGTCAAACATTTTGAGAGGTGACGTAAATATGAGGAACAATACTGTGTAGGGTTCACTGTATGTTATATCTTATTTATCGATTCATAACATATGGATCACTAAACAATGTCTATTAGCCAAATACAACTATGCAGGTAATACATGTGCATTCCTTAATTGGTTGACCTGCCTAGAGTTTGTTGATTATTTTCTTCTATGATAGTGCAGATTTCAGAAGGCGTACGTTATAAATCATCTGCAGGTGTTTTTGTTGTTGACTTCCTATTCATGTCATCTTGTGGTCTTCAAAAAGTGACTGCATGAGCAGCTTATGGTATTTCTTCAATTGCTTACATTATTGATTGGTTAAAGTAACTGACTTGCTCATGCTTAGACATTTTTATATTAGATTTTGCAGATTGAACTTGCATAACTCCAGTATTGGAGTGTACTAGACACTGTACAAAGCACTTGTTAAGATCCAGTTTCAAAGGTTTTGAGGAGCTATTTTTGGGAAATTGGATTATCTGCAATTTGGTATTCAAATTGTGTACGCAAAAGATAAAACTACATATTTGTTGAGTTACATGTGAAAAATGTCACAACTTCTGTAAACTTAAAAAATTGGGGAATATAAGGAATTTATCTGGAGTTTTAGAATCAGATTCAATTGTTCGAGTGTAGACTGTCCGTCTAAATACACCTGCACATTTTTTTAGTTGAGTTTGTTCCGTCTAAATACACCTCCAGATTTTGTTCTGCGAAGAACTGCGAAATCTCCTATATATTAATTCAAAACTTGCTGAATCTAAGTGGTAGGCACGCATGCTTCGGAATCCTATGTGACAAAATTACATGTTTCATTATTGGGCTTAGGTAGATTCTAATTGAGAAAATTACTCCTGACACGATATATTAATTTTTCTCTTTTCGATCGGTCGCGATTTACGGGACTCGACGGTCCGCCGAGGCCGATATTGATGTCACGACGACTTCAGGCCCTAGCACCGGCCGCAGCCCTAGCCCCGATCCCAACCGTGCTAATACCGTTTCAATCCATGGAGATAACACGTTGAATAAATTCAATGGCGATAATCATGCGGGCAATAAATGTTCTCAACCTGAATTGCTACCAAAGTGGAACTTAAAGGAAGAGGTGAATGAGGTGATGATACACTCAAGTTTCAATCGTTTCTCAAATCGAACCCACATAGACATAAAATATAAGTAAAATATACACTTGAGATTCTCGTACAGATCAGGACACACATATAGATAAAATATATATAAAATATACACTCGATTTACGTGATCATGTATGTTCTGTAGAACCAAAATTCCACTTCTTTTCGCCGAGCATGATAAGAACAAAATCCTAATTATTAGGTAATATAGACTTACCTTTTCTTTTTCAGTTTAACGTGATTGTAGGAAGATTATTTTTTAATTAAACATGGTAACGGATAGTTAGCCTGTAGGTATGTTTTATCACCAAATAACAACAATAAATACATGCAATTAATATACACCACCTCGTATTTTTATAAATATTTTAAAATCTTGTGGTATGTTAAAATATTCGCCATTCTAATTTAATCCAATCCAAAAATAATTAGGTTCGGATTATCCATAAATATGTTGATTATTTATTGTCATGTTACATGTATTAATTGCATTGTAATATTATTTTTTATTATAACCATTGAATTGTAAATGTATCGTAAAAGTTAATAACTTTGGTATTTTTTATCAGTTTTACAAATGTAATATATCAAATTAATCATCTCTTGATGAGTTTTGATTTAACATCCATATTGTATGTATACAAAAATAAAAATTTATCAATTAATATATTTATGTTTTAAGTAGTTATATGATATAGGTATAAAAAGTACTACAATATAACATATGTAAGTGCACAAGTAACAAGTATCATACTAAAATATATAATAATATATAATTTTTGTAAAAAAGTGATTAAATTTTAAAATATTTTTTCTCATTAATTTTAAAAATTTCAGAATAAATATTTTAACAAGCACCCGTGTAATACATGAGTGTTGTACTAGTTTTTCTTTGTAAAATAGATTTTCATGTTACTCTCTTCCTATTTTACTTCTTCCAATAGCAAGTCAAAATTTCTCTAGCTAAGAATCCAGTCCACCACGAGGGGAAAAAACATATAGAGATAGCAGTTTTGCTATGAAGTCAACAGTTGGCTCCATAGTGGAGCCAACCTTCTATATACAACAAGTAAACTATGTCATATTTTCTGATTAATTAAATAATGCTAATAATTTAATTATTATGGTGTTTACTTGTTGTATATAGAAGATTGACTCCACTATGAAACGAACTGTTGACTTCATAGCAAAACTGGTAGAGATAGATTGTCACTTGATATGAAAAAAGTTGTCCAAATGTGTCATCACTCTCCAATATTTTCCTGCAGAAGATCAAGTTTCAAATGTTCTTACAAAAGCTCTTCATCCACAACCTTATCAGAATTGCATCTCCAAGATGAATATTCTTAATACTAATGTTCCTCTTGCAGAAATATTAAATTGTATATTTACATTTTAGTCCTTTATAACACAAAACATGTTTTAGCTCGTAAGTCAAACTTTTAGTTATCTTAGCTCTAATATAAATAGAAAAATCAGGTTTGATTAACATAATTTTGACTTCAGATATTTTCCGTAATCTCGTCTCTCTAAATACTCTTCCAAGTATACAAAATTTGAGTATATTCTTCAATTCAATGTTGAATAAAAATAACTATAAAATGCTTCAAAAGAGGTAAAAATATATCATGTGAGTTGTGACTAGTTCTACTACAAAATGACCTACTATATTTGTCTTATTTCTCATACAAAAATAGCCATAGCTCTACACTAGTGTCTCAACAATCATCATGCTACTTGTACCTACATGTAGAGTGATGCAACAAAATTAATCGGTAAATTGCACCAAACTCTTCTGTGTTTAACGAAATGTGTGCGTTTTTCCACTGTGTTTTAAAAACTGTATCAGACTCCCTTGTATTCGAGTAACAGATGCGAACGCTCCCTTTTTTCCCTTTTTTCAATTTTCTATTAACGGTGTTAATTTTTTTTTACAAAACCCCGTTATACCTTCCAATATTATATATATATTTACGATAAATTGAATTTCTCACGATATATTGGATATATCGCGAGAAATTCAATTAAAAATAAAAATGCTCTGCGTCGCAGGTTCGAACTTGAGACCACACATGAGTATGACAAGGAAGCAACCACTACACCACTCAAGCTTGAGTGTTAAATGTAGAAAGGTTTAATATACATAGGCATTACATATGGATAAATGAAATTTAATTTAGAAGTAATATAAATCATATTAAATTAAATTATTAAAATATAAACATATGAGAAATTAAAATATAATGAACCAAATTATATAAAATTAAGAGAAACAAAAAATATAAAAATAGCTTATTATATTAAATAAAAAAAATATTTAAAATAAATTATAAATAAATTTAAAAATCAAAGTTAAAATAATAATATTTATTGAATTTGTATTTAGATTATTTTTATATTTTATTATTTGTTTTAATTTATATTTTTTCATATTATCTATTGCATTGTTCATTTTATATTATCTTAGTTAACAAACTTTATTTATTTTGTTTATAAGATAAATTTTAATAATAAAATTCAAAATTAAAATTATTTGTTAAAAAATAAAATCATTTACTAAAAAATTATAATTTATTTCAATTTTTCTTAGTGATATTGTGTGTAAGAGTAAATCATATTACACGTATTTGCTAAATTGTGTTTTTTTTATTTTATTATATTAATTTATGATTTTTATTTACTTTAATTTATTATAACATAATAACTTATTTGATTTATTATATTATTTTACTTTACAATTTTTATACTTATTATCTTATAATATTATTATTTTATTTTTATTATTTTTTTATTTAATTTTATTATCATTGTTGTTCATTTCAAAATTTATATAATTAAATTATTTTAGTAATTAAAAATTATAAATTTATTTAATTTTAATTCATGCTACTATACTAAATTTTATCTTACTTTATTTTAATTTAATTGTTAAATTATTTTTATGTTAATTTAATTTATTTAAAGTTATTATATTATTATTATTAATTATTTAATTTATATTCACTTACCTCTTAGATTTTCATTTATTTTATTTACTTTATTTTTATTTTATTTAATCATTTTCGTATTATAGTATAAATATATGTATGTTCAATAGTTAATACAACATTCATGTAGCCCAATAGTTGTGTTGGCATGCTCCCTCTTTGCAACCTGGGTTCGAAGACCCACTTCCTACACTATCAATTTTGCTTTTGCAATAAATTTCAGGAGGGTAAAAAGGTAAATTAGTAATTCTGAAAATAAAAGAATTGAACAAATCTCGCAGCTAGAGAAGGTGTCACACACGCGCGGTTTACTTGGACGAAATGGGGGAACCGTGCATCTGTTACTCGAATACAAGGGGGTCTGATGCAATTTTTAAAATACGGTGGAAAAACACGCACCTTTCGATAAACACAAGGGGATTGGTGCAATTCACCCCAAAATTAATTAAAGAGTTGAGTAATTTCCAGCTACAAATTGATCTCTTTCTTTTGATTTTTTTTCCCCACTTGAGAATTGATGTTTTTGGATATGTCCCCTGAACATGAGACTCTCTGATGGAAAAAAACCGTTGCAGCCCATATCGCCACGTGGAACTTTCTAATCTCATACTTTTTCATTAATTATGTAAAATTAACTTATTAAAAATACTTCTATATATCATAAAATCTATTAGTTTATTAACTTCCAATCTTGCCCTGCTATATGTGTGCTTATATATATATATATATATATATATATCACACATTGTGTTCACAATCACAAACACAAATCCTTAACCCCAAAGGGACTCTCAAAGAAATAAAAAAATAGATTTTCTTTTAAACTGAAATGGCTGATCAATTCTTGCACAACATCAAACAGTCTTTCTCTTTAGCTGACATTGATCCCAGCTTTGAATTCTTGAATCAATTTCCGGGCCCGAATCAGTTTTTCAATAGCCCGGTTGGGTTTTCTTACGATGACGCCACTTTTCCTCAGTTAATAATACCTCAAGGCCCTGCAAGGAACCTGGAAAATTTCCCTGGATTATTTACCATCCCTGATGAAATTACTGCAGTAACTTCTTTTACCGGGCCTGTGAATTCAAACGACGTGGATAGTAAGGACCTCAAGAGGAAAAAAATGGAGATTGACACACCACAAAGCACTTCTGCAAATAACTCTGCATATACTTCTCCTCAAGGCTCTGATATTGGGACCAAAAACACAAATGTGAGTATTTTTTTTTTCCCATTTTTTTTTTCTCCTCAATATCTAATTATTTGATTGTGATATTGTGACATAACATACGTTACATTTATAACAATGATCAAGTTTGATTTTTTTTAATTGTTTTTGTATTTATTATAGCGTATTGGAAAAGGAAAGAAAGTGAAAGTCGTAAAAAGTGAAGAGGAGAAGCCGAGGGAAGTGGTTCACGTAAGAGCAAAAAGAGGCCAAGCCACTGACAGTCATAGCTTAGCAGAAAGAGTATGTCCAAAATGGACCAAATTAAACCTTTTAATATATCCTTGTTTTCGAAATTAAATATACTAATAAATCGACTTAGAAAATGTGAATTCGTAACTAAATTGAAATTTAATATGCATCAGGTGAGAAGAAGAAAAATTAACGATCGGTTGCAATGTTTGCAAGACATTGTCCCAGGATGCTACAAGGTGATTACTATCGTTAGGCATAGTTTGTTTTTTTTTATATTTTTTTTTTCTTTTTGCTTCTTTTTTGCAACAATCGTTTTTCGGTACAATATTAATAGCACTGAATTGTTTTTCTCAATTGATACAGACAATGGGAATGGCAGTGATGCTGGATGAGATTATTAACTATGTTCAATCCTTGCAAAGTCAAGTAGAGGTAAATTATCAGTGTTTTTACTTTTTTACTGCTATCAGCACACCAATATGAAAAATGCACACTTTTGATCTCAAGCTGACATAATATTTTTCTTTATTAATATATATATATTTTTTTATCTTCTCAAATTCAGTTTCTTTCAATGAGGCTTACGGCAGCTAACACGTTTTATGACTTCGCTTCAGACACAGATGCCATGTCAGCAATACAGGTGTGAAAATCGAATTCTTAAAAGCATTTATTTATTTATTTTTATTTTATTTTTATTTTCAATATAACAAAAAGTCTACAGCGGCCGATCCAAAAAATTTTCAATAGCTAGGACAAAAAATAATTCGAAATTTTTTTAACCATGTTGCACAAAGTACTTATATTAACAATTAAATAAATTGTTGGAACAATCGGGTGTTGAGGAGTTCCCTATTCAATTGCCTTGGAGTTGATGCTAAAAAATTGAAATTGATAATGAGATCTGGTTATTTTATTTTGCGTTATTATTATTATTAAAAAGTATATCAAAAATATTTTACAATCGTTTTTCCTTCATTTTTTTGTAATAAGAAATAAACAAGTCATTTTGCAATATAATTTATTAATTCAAGAAAAAACTAAATGTCATCATTTCTGTTCTTGTTATTTTATAAAGATTTTCTTATTAATTATCTTCTTATATATAAATATAGAGTTTTTCATTGTCAATTTCTAACGCTTTGTAATTCTATATTTTAATTTCCAAGATAGTCCATACAGATATGGATCTTTATCCTCAATTTTCAAATTTAAATGTTTGGGTAACTTCAATTGTAAATAAATTTTAAAAGTTAATAATATTTATATATATTATTATTTTTTATATACAATAACTTAAATTATTCATCTCTATCAATAAAAATTTCAATATTTATTAGTTGTAATTGAAAAAAATAAATTTATCTATCAAGCTTATTATTATATGGTATAAGTACTAAAAATGTTATAGTATAATATCGTCGAATCTGACCGGTGAGGTGTATCATTTTAAATAAAAGCAATAATGTTATTTTGTAAGAATTATTTAAAACTTTAATTAAAATAAAAACTTGTCTTCATATTTTTACACATATTAAATATAATTTTTTTATTCACACATGTTAACTATGTGTAGTTAGCACAAAAAATTGAGCCTTTGCCTAGGCTCGCCCACATGTAAATCCGCCCCCGCACTCAGGGTAGTTTTTGTGGTTTCTACTCATGATGTTATGTTAGTTAAAAATACTTCTTTTTGTTTTTTGGCAGAGTTCGAAGGCATATGAAGCAGTGAATGTGCAGAATGTTGCAACTCAAGGACTTGCTTCTGCTCAATTTGCACAATCGGGCCTCAATTTTGGCTATATTCCTCAGATTCCCCACAATATATGAAGAGACTACTCCTGTCATGGCCAACTTGTGTAACTCTAGAAATCAAAGGATCAATACGTTATATTTAGATTTTGTATAAGCAATCCAATTTGGAACTTAACCAATTATTTGTAGTTAAATGTGTAATCTGGCTATTCCGGACGAAATTATACGCATACGACTCATGAATATGAATACGAATGGATCGTATGTCTAAACACAAAGTTTTTCTAATCGAATATAATTTCTTTTTATCAATTATTATCATTTATTCATAGTTATTAATAATATTATGAGTTACTTTTGTTCTTAAGTAATTGCCATGTACTTATTTTGTGTTTATGGTTTTCAAGTGGATGTACTGAATTGTTTTGTCAGAATGAATAGACAGCTGAACAACAGGCATCAAATGTACTAATTATTTAATTATATAACACAAAATATAAATATCCAAAGGACGTAGGGACATATAACGAGTTGATAATTGCAATAAAATCGTCTTCATTGGGAGACAACGCGTCTGAAACAAAGATATATATGTTACTTGCAATTTATTAATCGGCTTATTTGTCATGTCTTAGCAATATTGGTTTCTGACAATAACGCATTAACTTATGAGAATGTGTAAATATATATATAATCGAATTCAAAATAAATAGAACCATGTACAATATTAAAAAAAAAAAAAAAAATTCAACGTATAAAAATAAATAAATAATGTTCCATAATTTCGGGTTATAAGATTACTCTTGTTGAAATTCAACTAATCAACCGTAATCCAGTAATTTTAAAAATTGATCGATTTGTGAATAACTTTGACGGTAAGTTGAAATGTCATGCACATGTATCACATGAATTATACTGATCAAATTAGTCAATTGAATTATACTCAAATTAGTCAATTTGTAAAATTCTGGGACATTTCCTGATTAATTGAATTCAAATGAGACTACTTATGATACCCACAAATTAAGTTAATACACTATCCAATTTTTTTTTTTAAAAAAAACTAATTTTGTCAAAATATAAAAACAATCATAACCCAAGGTATCTCATAAAGAAGAAATAAAATCAAGAAATTAAAAAATAATCGGAAAATTAATAAGGAGGCACAGTTCTTTCCATCATCCAACATTAATTACATATCTAATCAAAAGCCATACCCAAAAATACATGTCGACCTAAAAAACAAGTGGAACCACCCAACAAATAATGCAAAACCATATAGACCTCATGGATGTGGGCAATTCATGACATGAATGATTATCAAAAAGGGTTTGTAACTTGTATATTTCCCCAAAAGAAAATAAAAATAAATAAATAAACAAATCATAATAAACTAAGAAAACAAGTAGATGCATTGCATACACACCAATAAGATATTACAGCTTGAAATGGGGGCCAATGGGTTGCCCTAAAAGAGGATAAAACAATGTGGGGTTTCTCCCAAATAGTACCACATTCAAGTCTTTAACATGATGAGAAAGGATTGATGAGCCTTTGAAGGTCACTTTTGCCAAACTCAAAAATCCATCTATTTTTTTCCCC